CCGCCGCCCGGGCGGAGGGTCCTCCTCGGGAACCGGGGCAGGGACGGAAAACGTGACACGGGCCGTGCGGGGAGAGGGGACGGTCCTCCGGGAGCGGCCGGCGCGAGGCGGGGGGGGACACACACAGCAGGGTCCAAGCCCCTCCGGCCACGCAAGCACAGCGGCGGGTCCCCGGCAGCGATGCCCCGGGACAGCCGAGTTGTTTTCTTCCTTCATCTCCCCTTCCCAAACCTGGCTCAGCATCTCTGCTGTTGTCTGGGAAGCAGGTGCGACGGCGGGGACCAAACCCTGCCCGGCACCGCCCAGCCGGAGTTGCTTTCTCCCTCCCAATCTCACACGAAGCACAGCCCCAGGACGCGTGGCAAAGCCAATTCCCAAACGGTGCCAGCATCCAGCACATCCCCACCCCAGGGCAAAGAGGCAGGAGCATCACAGCTAGGATGCGCAATTGCAGGATGAATCCATAAACACCCCAATACCCGATGGCACAAGTTCGCCTGCGAACTTCGGGTCCTGCTCCGGATGTTCGACCACCCCTACCTTGGGTGAGGCGTGTGGGCCGCCGGAGCGGCACGCCGTCGATGGCGCAGGCATTGCCGCAGGGGTGCAGGGTGAGCGTCCCCCGCACGTTCTCGATGTAGCAGTGCTGAGGCGCCAGCCCGGGGCCCTGCAGGACGATGTCCCTTGCGGCCGTGCCGATGGTGGTCCTCCCTGCCGGCAGAGAGGGCGGCTCAGCGTCCCTGCTGCCGGCATGCCCGCGGGGACCCCTCGGCAGCCGGCACTCACCTTCCTCCAGGGGCAGGAGCGTGACAGCGGTGCTGAGCCGGCCGCTGCCCAGGCTCACCAAGTGCGGCTTCTCCGTTTGCACCTTCAGCCCCTTGCCCGTGTCGATCAGGTCCAGGGGGCTGTTCTGCAGAAGGAGAGGGGAGGGATGCTCACAGCTCCCGCGGCTGCAGCCCACTCCCCTGCGCTGCCCACCTGGCTCGGGCTGCTCGGAAACAGCTGCACACGCAGGCAGGGAGCGATGCCCAGGCACAGCTGTGCACAGGCAGGACAGTCCGGCAGCAGGACGCAGGAGCTGAGGGCTCCCTCCTGCCCATGCTGCCCGCCTGGGGGAGCAGAGATGAGCCGTTGTGGGAGCAGGAGAAGATCCCTGGGGCTTGGGCTGCATCTAAGAGGATCCGAGCTGCCAGCCACTTAGCTCAATTGGCTTTGCCACCGATCCCATAATAGGATTGGGGCGAGGAGAGGCCAGAGGGCAGTGCCGGCTACCTGTGGCAGGGCTGGCTGCGGAGGAGAAGGGTTCCAGGGTGGATCCCCGTGCTCCCACAGGGCAGAGGTGCCACAGCCCCACGCGCTCACCTGGATGATGGTCTGGACTCTGCGGGTCGGGCTGGCGGGGATCCTGCCGGGTGCCTCCATGGTGCCCGCTTGGAGACGCCGGGTGCTCTCAGGCACAGGCTGCTGCCAAGAGAAACAGAGGACATCAGCACAGGTGACCGCGCTGGGCACGGCTCTGCCGTATTCCTCCCACACATCCCTGCCGGCAGCCCACACATCTGGCAGCCTGAGCACGAGCCTCGCAAACCCTACCCTACCCCAAACCGGCGTTTGCCAGCAAGGCGATTCCCCTCCTGAGCTCCGGTCTCCAGCCCCGCAGCAGCTGCCTGAGGCCAGCGAGCATCCCCGCCTGGTGAGGCACATGCCCCCATCTGCCCAGGGATACCCGCACACGCGCCAAGCAGGACAGCACGGGACACGGCGCTGGAAGGAGCCGGCACGCTGGCTCAGCTTTGGGGAGGTGGTGCAGGAAACACATGCCCTAAACACTGAGAATGATGGGCAGCCAGACCCCGATGGCCACTGGTGGACAAGGACATGCAAGTACAGCATCCAGCTGTCCTCAGCAACATCTGCCTGCCCATGCACGGCCTGCCCCAGCACACCCACACATGCCATGAGTGCCCGTCCCCGGCACCTGGGCACACACCTTTGCTCCTGCACAGCCGGGCAGCAGCAACACTTCGGGGTGCACAAGCCCAGCTGAGCGTGCCACGTCCCTGCCTGCGCCCCATGCGCCCACACCAGGCTGGCAGGGCTGCTGCCCACGGGATCAGCCACCCACTGCCATTTTCCGTGCTGGCAGGAGGCAGCTCGGGGAGGAACAATTTCCGTCACCCGGCGCCCACGCCACTGTCACAGCCTGGGATGCTCCGGGGTTACTAAATTTACCGTCTGCTGCTCCCCATGTCCCTCCCTTCCGCCTGGGCCTGGCCGAACACAGCTTAACCCTTCCTGGGCAGGCTGGGGCAGTCAGACCGGGGAGCGCTCCCACCCCCGTTAGGGACCCCGGTTCTGGGGCAGCCGGGGGCACTGGGAGGAGCCCCTGGCTCAGCTCCCTGCAGCATCACCTGCAGTCCTGCCAGCCCTGGCGTCCGGCAGGGCAAGGGACCCCCCCACGTTGTCCCCCCCCCCGGCTCGGCCAGCGCCGGGCTCGCCTGCGGGGGCGAGCGGGCGGCTATTACACACTGTGGAAAAAATGAAACACTGGAAAACACCAGGCGTGGAATCCAGGGCTGGGACGGAGCCCGGGCAGCTCTGCGCGACGTCAGGACCGGCCGCCCCACAGCGAGGGCTCCGTGGGGACTGCGGCTGCCCCGAACGGATTAGGGACAGCTTGGCTGGGGCAGGGGGAAGAAGAGATGCGGTACCCCAGGAGCAGCTCCCTGGTGCCCGCCGGCTGCTGAGGTGGGACCCCCCCCCACTTTCCCTTACCTGCCAGCTGGTGCTGGCCCGGGTGCTGAGCAGGACCGTTTGCGGCAGCATGCCCATGTCCCCCGGGTGCAGGGGGGCCGCACTTCCCAGCATCGGGAAACCCCACAGCCCGGCCGAACCTCTGCCCCTCGCCTGCACCCAGGCCCCGCTGCCACAATGTCCGGGAAGGAGGAAAAGCCAGGAGGGGCCGGGCTGCTGCATAGGAAGGGAGCGGGGCCACAGTGGGATCCTGTGCCTGCATTAACCCCTTCCCAGCATGGCTGTGCCAGTGGGGCCCATGAACATCATGGGGGTCCCCCAGCGGTCCCCCAGCCCCGCCGCCCGGGGGATCTGTCCCCGCTCCTGCCCTTCTCCTGCTGCCCAAACTTGCTCCACCTAGCACACCCCGCTCCACAGGCAGCCCTGCCTGCCCATGAGCTGGAGGGTGACCCTGGCATCTGGCTGCTCCCCGACACCCACCCAGCCCACTGACAGTCCCTGGTCCCCCGGCATTGCCCTCCGCCCCAGCAGAGCCCCTTACCTGGCTCCTCACCGCGCAGGAGACTCCTGCTATCCCCCCAGCCCGTCCCTTGGGGGGTGCAGCCCCTCTCCAGCCGGCTCTGCCGGAGGAATGCGGGGCGGGAGCGTGGCCGCCCCGGCCGGCGCCCCACCACTGGAGCGGACAAGGCGGCCTTTCTTCTCCCGCCACCGCCTGCAGAACGCGCCGCTTGTTCCCGCCGTGGGAAGCGGCGAAGGCAGCAAATGCCAAGGGGTCGGGCTCGGTTACCGCCAAACAGCCCACGGCCCCCGTGCCCCCCGCGCACAGGGCTGCCCGCTCGTCCCCGGCCTCCTGGAGGACAAAAGCCCCTTTCTTCTCCCGACGCAGGCAGAGGCCTCACCTGGGAGGACGCCCAGCCCCGCCGCCACGGGGCCCCTGCCGACGCCGGGCGGGCTGCACGCGGACACACTGCCCCACCGCCACCATACTCCCGGGAGCCCCTGCACCCCACTGCCCGCAGGCTGTGACCTTCCTGCCTCGAGCCCACACGGGCAGGGGCGCTCGGGGGGTCTGCTCCTGTCCAACCCACTGCTGCCCACCGAGACCCAACCTGGGCACGGCACAGCCTGCCTCGCACCCCATCAAGTGTGGCCAGGTGCCAGCAGCCAGCTGGCAGACCCCGGAGCTGCACCACGTGCCGCTGGCCAGGGCACAGCCAGGGCATGGGCAGCCGACCCATGCTCGCTAAGGGCTGTGCCGATGCACCGGAGCGCAGCCTGGCACCCTGCCATGAGCAGGGTGCCCAAAGATGCCCCAGCTGCCCCCCGCCCGGGATGCAGCATGCAAGGGGCAGGCTCACGGCATCCCATGGCATGGCCTTTCCTCCCCACCCGCAGCCGAGTGAGTCACAGGAGGAAGCCGGAGCGGCCGAGCTAACGGGTGCGCACCACACAGCATCGCAGCCTCCGTCCAACTTGGCTGCCTGCTCACTCCCCATCTGCTAACGCGCTTAGGGTGCGCTTACCCCTTCCCACACCCTCTGCCCCAGTAAACAACCGGCCCTTCCGCCAGCAGCTGGGAAGGGGGAGCCCATCTCCAGCACAAAGACTGAGGGGAGTGAGGACCCTGCTCCTGGCCACTGCCTCCGAGCCGGGGGCTGCCCCACGCTGAGCAGGGGAGACCCAGCCGGCCCCATCCCACCCAGGCGAGGGGCGGCGGGGGCTGCTTCGCGGTTGCTGGGGCGACGCAACGCTCCTGGCAATAACATCACCGTAAATCAGCTGCCAGACAGCTCCGGCGGGAGCCGAGGAATCCCGGCCGCACCCGCTGATCTCAGCGCTCCCGGGAAGCACTCCTGCACCGCTGTGGCGCGGCACAGCTGCACTCCGGCCGAGGCCCCGCCGGCATCGCGCCCCAGGCTCTCTGCGGACTGGGGTATGCCTGCTGCGTGCTTGGGCCAGGGAGGGTGCGCATCCCTGCTTTCCTGCACCCGACGTTCCTCGAGGTGAGCCAGCTCCAAGAGCCGGTGATGCCGTGCATGGTCCCAACTGCTGCCAGAGCTCAAGCACCGAGCCCAGCATCAGCATGTGCCTCCGGCCACCAGAGCATGGACGGGGAAACCACCACCGCTGAGCTCCAGGACCCCTTGTAAGGTTGCACGATGGAGACTTGTTCCTCAAAGCCCTCTCATAGCAAATGATGGCTTCTCATCTGCAGGCCAGACGCTCGGCTCGGCTCAGGGGGAGCATCTGCGCTAATAACAGCTCAGGGACCGCGGCACGGGATGGGTTTCATGGGTCTCGGATCTGGTCCCTGGCACGAACCCATCACCCAGCCCTGCATTTGCTGGGAGAGGGGCAGGGGTGAACCTCGCCTCCCTGAAATGGGCATCGCTCTCTCCGTTCCGGTGTCTGGCCATCAGCAAGTGCCGCCTTGTCACGCAAACCTGCGGTTCCATCACCCTGCATGGCACCCTGCCCGCTGCAGCCCCGCGCACACCAACATACGGCATCGTGCGGCAACCCCAAACGTACGAGGAATTGCTGAAAAAACAGCTGGGCAGCACTGCCCTGCTGCCGCCTGGTCTCTGTGCTGCCTGCGGCGCTCGGCCCGGGGATGTGCCCTGCTGCAGCCCCTGCCTGGTGCCCAGGGAGGGCCGGGGGCTTGCAGAGCAGCCGGAGGGGTGGGAGAGCGGGCAGCCCTTCTGCGCAGCAGCTGGATACCTTCTGGGGCTGCCAAATTCCTCGGGCTTTCTGGCAGCGGCCAAAGGGGCCGTGGCGAGAGCGTGTCAGGAAGCTGGAGTAAACAAGGTCCCGCCACGGAGCGGGGTCCGGCCAGGCCAGCGCCGTTCCCAGGCTCCCCGAGAGGCATCGGGGACGGCAGGGGCAGCCTCGGGCCAAGCACCGTCTCCCCCTGCAACCGCCCACGAGCCGCAGCAGGATTTGGGGATGGGAGGGCCTTCCACGCGGGGCCGGCTGCTCTCAGGGCTCCCACGCCAACAAACTCGCCACCGACGTGGGCCACCGGATCTGGCTCCAGCTCCCGGCCCACCCACGCCCTCCCAAACTGTCGTGCGATGATGGGTTTTACGGCTGAAGGGGTTTTCCTGCTCTCCCGCCTGCAGGCTCCTTCCCCGCGCCCCTCCTTGGGAGCCCCCCAGGCAGGCGGGCGGGGACCCCCACCGCGTC